ATGGTGTCCCGGTCATGTTTTGATGGTGTCCCGGTCATGTTGTGATGATGTCCCGGTCATGTTTTGATGGTGTCCCGGTCATGTGACGGTGTCCCGGTCATGTTGTGATAGTGTCCCGGTCATGTTGTGATGGTGTCCCGGTCATGTTGTGATGGTGTCCCGGTCATGTTTTGATGGTGTCCCGATCCTGTTTTGATTGTAACCCAGTCATGTTGTGATGGTGTCCCGGTCCTGTTTTGATGGTGTCCCGGTGTGATGGTGTCCCGGTCATGTTTTGATGGTGTCCCGGTCATGTGATGGTGTCCCGGTCATGTTGTGATGGTGTCCCGGTCATGTTTTGATGGTGTCCCGGTCATGTTGTGACGGTGTCTCGGTCATGTTTTGATGGTGCCCTGGCCATTTTGTAATGGTGTCCCGGTTATGTGATGATGGTGTCCAAGGAAGATATGGTCGATGTGGTGAAAACAGCAGCTGTTTCCAGATTTTTCTTTTTGTCCCGGTTTGTATCTTGCTATTGGGGTCTCCAGCTGGGCTAATTTTGTTTTATTTTTTTGATTGCTCCCTCAGGGGGGTAAAGGCATATAGACCCGCCTTTTGACCAGGCACATGACTCAGGAGTTGGCTATCCCAGCTGACTATGTCACTAGAACCGTAAGTCCTATGTCACTAGACCCCAGTATATATATATATATCAATGCAGCTGATGGAACGCAGCTTGCTCAGGTTTTGCAATGTGCAAGCAAAATCCAGAGTACCACATTCTTTGTTGGTCTTGCGCAAACATCACATTTAAGGGCCATTATATATGTAAAAAAAACATCTGTGCATGATTCCACATTTATGACGATCCGATCAACACAATTGATGAGCCCAACTTCTGTCAAACCATGTCCACATATTCATGTCCACTTCAATGGCTGGCGATCATGTTATGCACCTGTGAGCTGTGACCATCCTCAGACCGTGGCCAGGGCGATGTCGGACAATGAGAGAACTGCCTCAGCAGTAGTCCGATACCGGGCTCTGGGCCTTGGGCCTTGATGAAGGCGTTCTAATCTGAGGTTTCAAATCAACTTTCAAGCTTCCAGTTTGTAGCTTCGACCTTGAACCCAGAACAAGGATGAACAAGGAGCAGTTCCCCTCAACACAGGTGGCCCTTCCTTGACGGCAACAGCTGCAAGTCTTGCGATGTTTTCGAGCTCCCTGGCTCGACAATTCCAAAGTTGTCGCAAAAGACCTACATCGTGTGCAACTCTGATGGGCATCGGAGTGCTTGCATTCAATCGGGGGATCCAAGGTCTGGCATGACACTGCATCATACTGCATCCGAATCCAGGCTTGACAACATCCTTGAGCTTCTGAACGTTCTATTTACCTGGCGAGTGTTAAAACACTTAAACTCAGAAGTAGCTTTGACATTGGCAGCCATCCTTTGCTTTGGCCACTTGACATGTGTTTGGCACAGGCACCCGTGTTTTGCAGTGGGCACCTTGAAGCGGCTGTTGTAGAAGTTGCAACAGGGCGTACCAGAACCAAAGCCTTGGCCCAAGCTTCCGATGCTCTCCACAGTGGCTTCCTGGCGAAAGGATGTCTTTCCATCTTTTTGAGCAGGTTAAAAATGGTATAAAATGTTTCATGGGCTTTCATCTGAAATCAACACCAAGGTGGATGCCCACTGATTTCTTGTTGAATCATCTTCAAATCTACCCCAACCGAGGGATCTTGGGATTCGGACCGCAAGATCCGAAAGTGGATTCGGATCAGGTTGGGGACTTCTCCTGCCTTTCACAAACTGACCAAAGAAAGCGCACCTCTGGGATAGCGTCCTGGTACAGGGCCTCAATCCAAAGACGGAACATCGGAAGACAACAGTCCACTCAGCGGAGGGCACTAGATATCGGCAGACCGAGAGCACCATGTAGTACGAGCCCGTCTCAAAACAAGGGCCTCGAACAAATGCACCCTGACTGAAACTATCGGGGGAACGGTGGAGGATAACGATGGATAACCTAGATATAGTCTGACTAAGGCCGATCGGAGACTCGCAGCGATGTTCATCTGTCACCTTCTTGAGATTGGGATGATTCAGTGATATATTTCAGACTCACCCAATCTTCAAAGCTGAGGTCTCGGGGACAATGATTGACTGCCCGGAAGAAAATACTTTCATGGAAAAGCAATGCCAAAGTAGCTTCTATGTACATGGAGCAATCCAATTTTGAACAGTTTCCACGAAACCCTGCAAAGCTCCTACGGCCAAGAAGTGCTCATGAGCAAACCAAGGCTAGGTCAGCTTGTGCGTAGTTGCAGCATCGGAAAGCTCCATCAAAAATCTTGAGGCCATTCCTCGGTGCAATGGATTCAGCCTATCTCGATACCGCCGATATGGCCATGTTCCGTCAAAGGCTTGACATCTGCCGCATCTGAGTGCTACACGCGTTGCTATCGCGGCCCGACGTCACTGGCACCACGAAACTCAGTTTTCGGCTGAATTGAATGGCAGGTCGAGACTCAATAAGTGTCCTTTGAGGGGTATGGCATATTCTCGTTCCCTGCTTAATCTGGATCAGCAAATCAACAACAAACAAAAAGATTGACCTATATACATATATATATATACTATTATAAACTAATTTAACACTGCATGATACCTGGCCTGACGGGGGTTGGACTGTCCGCACAATTTTCTCATGATTTCTCGTGTCTAGGCTGTAAACGGGCTTTGTCTGGATTCTGGCTTTGGCTCCTTCTCTCGGATTTCCAGATTCCTTCTTCACTTCGCACTGCTTCGCAACTCCTTCACCTTGTCTGTCGGACTGAGATGCCCCTCTTATTGACGTAGGCAATGCCCTGGTCAGTCTGCGTGGCGATCTGCAGGTGCGAACGCCACGGTGCACAGCTCCAGTTACGCCTACTTGACAGTCTGTCCAGGAGTGTAACAAACGCAATCTCATGTCCAGTGAGAATGACTTTGAGTACAGTATATCAGTATATAAGTACTGCCAGTACTGCTATATATATAATATACATGATTGTCCCTATTCATACATATGGCTATGGCATGCTATGGGTCAACAAACATCAGAAACCAATCCTTTTACCAGCGGGTTTGGATGGCAGTTTGACCCGACATCTTTGAGTACACATTTTCGCCTGGAGCCGACAGTCATTGCCATGGTGACAAGTCCTGCCACATTGCATTTCAGGTGATTCACTTGCAACACAGTGTGTTACACACGGTTCAATACGAAAGGCCAGCAGATTTGATCACTCTGCCTACGCCGAAAACTCCTGTCCTTTGGTGTAACTCCGGCCTGTCCGTTTCTGTGGTGTAACACCTTTTCCAAGATGATCCAAGCTGATTGTTGTTGGCTGGTCTTCCATGTAATCCGAGCCTTTCTGTCGACAAACTTGCACACACGAACGCTCAAGATGGCTTTGCTGGGTACATGTTGAGCTCTTTGGTGGACCTACGGACCTGGTTGACCTTCGATCTTCGCACTTTGAACACCCTGGAGCTGTCCCGTTGGTGAAGTCGGAAAACAGGCATTCGCCCTTCACCCAGTCAAGCGTGGACAGCCACACCACCTCGGCCACGGCACCTCCAAACCCAGCCACTACTGTGCACGGGAACAAATATCCACACTAAACACTATGTCTATCCTTGATTATGCCAACATCTCAAGTGAGAGAAAGTGTCCTGCAGTGTTGCTGGATCTTTTAAAGGAAGTGCCATGGGCGGCATGCGCCTTCACCTTTAAGACATGAGGTTCGGTGTTCCCAAGCTGTGCGTGCTCAGGCGAAGTGAGATCGCTTCTTCATGATCAACCAAACAAATAAGCCTATCGGACATCTAAGTGGCCAACCACCGCAGCAAGCACAAATATGACCTGAGCAACTTGATACAACCATCCGTTTGTGTAAAAATCGTATCAAGCCCATTGGTTGACCCATTGGCTTGCAGATCTTGAAGACGTTTCAACATGTTTCAACAACTTCTGGACCCTTATGGAATCTGCCAAACAGCCCTGACGGCCCTGAGTCCTGGACCATGATGGCCAGCAGAAGCTCGACGGCCTCTTTGAGGAGCCGACGAGTTAGGACGAGGCACGCCACAGCCCGCGAAGCACGCCACAGCCCGTCACTACGTCATGGTTGGTGTTGAAGCCGAACAAGTCATGTTTCTCTTACAAGTCATGTTGCGTTCTATTCAAGAATCTTCTGTCTGTGACCTGACATGTTTCACATGCACTCTGCAACTTTGATCAACTTTGTAAAGACCAAGTCATGTGTTCTAGATTGTTCTAGAAGGTTCAGTCCCTGTCGATGACCGACACCACCCTATTTGTCAAGAGCCAACTGCATTGTAATTTAGTAGAGGCAGTCGCTAGGGGTTGGTTGGTGCCTTGACGTCAATTGGCACGGATTGCAGCAAAGATCGGCAAAGTAGCTTGGTCATTGGACACATCATGAACCTTCCGTTAGAGGCCATTGCTTATAGGCTGGAGGCCATCGCCATTAGGTTGGAGGATCATTCACGAGAGTCCACGAGGCGCCCTCTCCAGCTGAGGCGTCCAACGAGGCACCAGGCTTTGAAAAGGAAACCATTGGATATGTTCAACTCAGCAAAGGCTTGGCTCTTGTCTTCGCTCGCCGCATTAACGGACTAGTTTCCATTTGTGAGAGCTTGACCTGGTGGATTTGGTCTCTTATGATCTCTCTGTTGCAGGTTTGGCACCAGCTCAGTTGTGCTAACTCAGTTACTGTGACACGTGCCTGATTTGTCAAAACAGTCACTGCGACACTTCCTTTTCCCGTGACGATAGAGCGCTTCCATCTCAGCTTGACACGAGCTCGTCCCCGCATGCCTACCGCTTGACACGAACGCCACACAGTGCGATCCGGGCAAACAACGGGCAATTGGGCAAGGCTTCAGCGAAGTCAGCCGCATTTGGTCAAAAGGGACTTCAATTCCAAGGGACCTTCAAGTCTTTGCCTCCGACTGACAGGCCCTCTGCGACTTCGAGCTTTCTTGCATCCCTACTAAGACAGGATCTTGTGGTGCTAAGAATCCGTAGTTTTCTAGTCTTGTGGAAGAATACTGGCTTCGTGCTCCTCGTAGAGTGCTGCAATGTTCTTGGCAACATCCTCAGCTGCTCCATGGTTCCTGACAAAGGATCTCGACTACTCACTTTCATCTTAATTTCACGGCCTCCAAGCACAACTTCAGTTGGGGAAGTGGTCTCTTCAAAGTGCACGAATCTAGAATTTCAAACTGCCGCACGAACCCGAAACAAGTCTGGAGCCATGAGAATTTCCGTCCTCACTGGAATCGTGGAAGCCACAAGTGGATTGGGTATGCAAGCTTCTTGACCTGTGCACCTAATTAATCTCCCAATGATAGTGATTCAGTGGATGCATCCTTGACCCTGGACATCCTTCGCCCCCAAGGGCTTTTTTGGTCGTTGCCTTTCAGACCCGAAGCTTGCGGAATCACCAAGAAAGCAACCAAACAATTGGCGACCACCCTATCAACAAAAGCATGACCTGGGCTTGATCCACACAGGATTTGCCAGGGTTATGGCTGGATTATGAGGCCTTCCACCGTTGGGAAAGCATGACCTGACCATCGTGCGCACCTGATCCAACACCAAAACATGACCTGAACCCACCGTCAAGAAAGATCCCAAAGCTTGCGCTTCCCTTCAAAGAATTGCCTGAAGAAGCTCTCGGGTTCCTCTACACGCAAAAGGGCCTCAGGTCATTCAGGTGATGACCATCTACTGAGATCTATCGAAGCGAAGGAAGGCGACTTCTTTTGGAAAGAACAAGCAAAAAGGGTTGGGACATGCTTGGACATGTCTGTTGACGTGTTTAACCGCTTGGACACTGGACAGCCTCGAACTTCCAATTGTCCATCTGTCAGCCAAGAGGCTTGAATTATCATGATATCCTGCGCGGTTTCATCCAACCCAAGCCTCAAATCAATCATTCCCTGCTGCATGCAGTGAGGACATGCAGGATCTTTCACGCCTCACAAATCTCTACAAGTAAGGCCTCTGGACTTTCACTTTGTGTGTTCATGAATGAATCAGGCAGCACCTCTGGTCTGGTCAGGCGTACAGAACAAGTACCGAGAAGAAAAGGCTATATACCGCAGCCTCTGTTCCTGCTCAAGGGATGCGATGTCTGCATTAAGTCACCGGACGCCAGTAAGCAGGACCGGTTGCCTCTCAGCACCTTGAAATTCAGACGGCTTCGAGTTGAACTCGGCCACAGGCTGATCTTCTGGCTCCATCAGCGAAGGGCCAATTGCAGCAAACAAGCTAAGCTCTCACAGAATTCTCCATATAGATCATATAGGAATTATTCAGCGCAAAAAAAAGGGTTTCGGTGGATGGACACAAGGACGACGACCACGTCGTCCAGTCCCTTCGGGCTCGGACGTCCATGAGCTCTGCCTGCGGCCCTCAGCGCGATCGAAAGGGATCCAACTCATCGGGTCTTTCTCCGTCCGTCCCAGGCTCGCTGGGCCTCCCAACGTTTCTTCCTCTTTGGCGGAGCAGGAGGTTTGTGGCGGTCCTCACAGCAAGCATCAGCAAGCCATAAGCTTGATGTGATTTCTTGGCCCGCTGGCTTGGCTCGTTAGCTTTCTGGTTTATAAATGTTTGTAGCCTGAGACATCCTGAGACTGGCAAGCATTGGGCTTCCTTCTACAAGTTCTGTCCATTTCCTCATTTCCTGAAGGAGTTGAGCCTTTTGCCCCGTTTGATGAGACAACGGCACCGCACAGGAGTTGTATGTCAACTTTGGGTAGCCAGCAGGTTCATTCTGATCTTTCACCCGTCTTCTTCACAGGGGGTTCTCACATACTACTGTATGATTCATACAACCAATATCTGAAATCAAACACCAAGCTTTGATACAAACAGGGCAATTCTTCCTTTTGGGTCACAAAGACCCTGACAGGCAACGGTTTGACCCTGTTCCACCCAATGCCAGCATCCTCGCCTTCTTGAAGCCCACCTCCACTGTAGCATTGACTGGCGCCTCACTTGGTCTCAGAGGCCGGGGATGTCCGGTGCCCAGGGCAACGGGGTCACAAGCATCAAGCATCATCAAGCGACTGTCTTCCACACCTGCGGCGCAGATGATGCAGAAGCCCTGACAGCCCTAGTCAAAGAGACCAAAGACTGTGACGGAGCCACTGCGGTTTCATCCTGTGCAGCCAAATCTGAGACTCCGAGAGGAATGCTCTGCAAGGCAAATGTCGGATAGATTTCTCTCATTATCTCTTCCTATTAACTTGCACGGATGACGACTCCTGAATGTCTTACAGCAGTTTCTAGCTTGAGCTGATTAGGTCGGTAAGGTTTCATGAGTGGAGTAAACTCTAAAAATAAAACACTCTGGAACTCACTGTCAAGCTCACGCTCTGTTTGGAATCCACTCCGCAGTCAGCAAGCGATGGTTAAGTGACCTTCCGAACCGCCAACAGCTTGCGCTGGTGCTGGCCGTCACTTAACAGCTGCTGTCAAGGCGGAATCCTTTGAGGATCTGCCTATTCACATCGTTGAACCCATTTCAGGTTCGGCCTGCTCAGGACTCCTCTTAGTTCCGACAATGAAACTCTTTGAAGGTTCTCCCTTGCAGGCAGGAAAAGGGATGGCGGTGTGGGGCACCCACACTTGCGCGGGAATGAATTCTGAAAGGCTCGGTCAACGTCTCTTTCTTTCGGTGGACCAACCACGTGAAGTAGACGACATGCTACTGACTTTGGCATGTCCCTCTTGGGCAATTGCAGCTTTGCTTGCTGCAAGCAAGATTTGGCATTTCGGCACCGCTTCAAGCAAGAAATGTTGAACTTTTATGAACTGTTCACAATCTCTCATGTCAGTTGCGTTTGCGAATACACGTGGATGCGCGACTATCAAACAGTTCCTGTGTGCCACTTCGTGCTTTGTTACGCAAAAAAAAGCTCTGTCTTAAAAAACTTTTGAACCTGTACCCAGCACTTCAACTGTCAGCGGTACTCGGCGCCATGCTGCTCACTAGGCTGCCAGTGAATGCGCTCACACGACTCCCCTGAGCCGAGTGGCCCCGGTACGCGGCCATCGTCCACGGTGCATGCGAAGACAGCTCAGCGAAAGTGCGCTTTGGGTCCATACATGTTCATTAAATATATACATAAACATACACAAACATCTTGCAGACAGTTTATTGATGCATGGATTTACAGCCTGACATATTGGTGATCACTTTCTGTCAACTTCCTGAACAACGTGGGCATTCAAGCGACGGAAGGAAGCATGTCAAGAAAATAATTTCAAGGCGCTTTAAAAAAATAAAGACAACAATTGGTGCTTGGATGGTTGACATGGATGCAGCAAACATTGAGACGAGGTTTCCAAAGACGCAGTATTGACCATTCCTGACTACCCGAGGCCGCCGCTGGTTCTTGCCCTGGATCTGCCGATCCTCTTGAGTCGACCTCAAGGGCTTGCTGCGAATGATTTTTGGTGACGTTCTGATGAGACCTGAAGCTGTTCATCCACATTTCACCAACTGAATCAAGATCCAGTATGGCCCAGTGGTCCAAAACTACTGGGATCAAAATCTGTGCGATCAATGCCATTATGATTGATTCATGATCCACTAACTCTGCATACTGACGCTGTAGCGAACACCCATGGTATCCCACACACACAAATAAACAGCTGTATGCGGTCGTATTGGTGGTCCATTCTGGGCGTCGGGCTGAAGCCTCCAAGGTCCTTTATTGAGGCCAAGTGCGGTGACAAGACTCTGTCTCGACAAAGAGGAACCGATTGCAACCACATCGATATGCAAGTCTTCAAGTGATTTGAAACCCTTTGTGCAAAAGATAAGAATCATTGACGTAGTCGTTCAACAAAGCAACATGCCGTTCTTACCTACTGCCGCATGTGAGACTTACAATGGTGGTCAAGCTATGTCAAACTTGTCATAAATTCATACACCAATGTTATGCCATATGGAAACGCCAAGCAACGTCTGATATGATACTTATACTTCACATCAGAACTCACAGTAACCAAGGTAACACACCTGTCAGGTTCATCCGATAAATTTCTCATGCAACACGCAGGTTCAGGTGACAAACATGCACTGTAAGTTTGACACCCTGTGAGGAACTGCCAAAAATCATAATCATTTAACTTTTCAGGAGCATGCGCAGGTTTGGAGGCTCCCAGTACAGTTGAGACGTACAGGTCAGCAACCTTCCAGGAATTGGAAGAGTAGAATTGGAAGAGTATTTGTTTTCGAAAAAACACCAAAACACTGATTTAACTGAAGTACAAAAATAAGAATCCGGGGTGGCCCAGGCTTTAAAACTACTATAACTTTTGCATAATGTTGCGGGTTGCAGTTCCATTACATGTTTACATGATTTTACACGTAACTTTTCGCTGACACCACATATCATCCCGCTCACCCTTGACACGCCCCATGACCGTAATTACTCGCATCTGTCTGTTTCCGGCTTCCAACGCGCGCGGAGCCACGCGGACATACTTCCCAGCGAGGCCTCGTCAAACTGCAGCGACACAGCGACACCGGCAATTGACATTTGGCCACAGAGCTGCTAGAAGTGGTAGTGTAGCACGCGCTTGCCACCCACATGGTGCGAACAGGCGATCTCACGGCCACTTTGCATCACCCGAGGGCAAAGCGGCAAAGGATGACCGACCGACTGAACAGCTTTGACTGCGCTCCAGAAATTCGCTTGCCAAACAGTGCCTGTCAACGAGTCCATGACGCCAGCATTTGAGCTCCTTGCCGTCTTTTCAAGCTCTGACACCGTACACACAACAGTTGCACGGGCAATGCAAAATCCCCAGCCCGCAAGGTGCCAACACGCAAGCTGAGAAGCTAGCAAGCGACCTCGCTAGCTGGTGGACGGGCCAGTGAAAGAGCATGACGTAGAGGCTTGGACTGGGATGCAAGCTATCATCTCCAACTGAACTCGAGAAAGCAGTTCAGCGTACACAATAAGTGTGCTGCCACGAGAACTCAAAAAAGCGCCGCTCAATTCTCAGCAGGAACGATCGACAAGATCACAAACGATCGACAACCACTCGCGCCAGGAATTGAAACTTCCGCATACTTCTGCGTTTGTCAGTCCGCCGCGCCCCCCCCGCCACCCCCAGAAAAATCTGAAGCTGTTTAATTTGTCAATGGGGACATAACAAGCTCTGTATATGCACATGGAGTATGGTACTTCAACATATTCAACATGTTAAAGTATAGACATGAGTATGTCCCATACTGTATGTACTGAGCAAAGGTAGAAGTAGCAATGTCGTAGGTCTTCATATATCACAAATGTACTACGCAAATTTAGAACTTGCACATGTAGAAATAGCAGGTCTTCAACTAGCACGTCTTTTCAACACAAGAACCCTTCGCAGTGCTCATGGGCAAAAACACGACAGATGTGAATATGTTTACATAAAATTACGAAAAACACACACGAAAACTATACATAAACATTATGAAGTAAGTTTCAATTTGACTTTTTGGCCAGGGCAGGTGCATGACAAATGACCACCCCCCCGTGAAGTAGTCCATAAGAGTCTGAACGCTGGGTGTTCATGTTGTGAGCTTCTGCGTGTGTACACTGGATTTGGATTTGGATGGTTGCCTTTCATTTGGGCTGAGTTCATTTATCTTGATTTGGCATGCGGCATGTTGGATTTGTATTACCACAGCCGAGCTCGGATGCTTTAGACAAGTTGTAGAACAAGTTGTAGCTTGGATGACTTATTGACAGCCCCCCTTCTCTGAGGCTTCGTACAGCTTCATCTGCTTCTGAAAGAGCTCGAACAGCCTTCGGCATCTGGCAGCCTTCGAGATGCAATGAGGGACAGAAACACACCCAGAATTTCATCACAACCCATCACATGATCGATTTTTTTCATGGAAATCCACGTGAATCCGCAGAGTTTCCTAGTCCTAGTCAATCTTCTTATGTAAACTTCCGAATGTACCATGCCATTCCTCTGGTGTCCTCTTTACCTTCCACTTCCGCACTTCTCCTTTGGGAATGAACGCTTGTGGGATTGCCCAATCTTTCCTTTGCTCCTCCCAAAGAGCACTGTTTTGCTCTCTCTTCCAGATCTTCCAGCCTCCGAGATGTCTTGCTCCTCTTCCATCGGAAAGGGGTGCTTCGGATCTCCTCCCAAGCGCCGAATGGAATCCACCTCAGCCCGTTCGGATCAGCGCGCTGCGCGATCCGCGCGATCCGCCATCGTGCCAAGTCGCATGGGTGGGATGCAGATTGGCAGGCTCCAGGATCTGACACCGGCCGAAACACCGGGCAAGAACGGTGACCGTTCTCCGAATGTCGGTTCTTCGGTTGTTGAATGGGTTGACTGATGGGTTCTTAGTTGTGTACAGTTTGATGGTTTGAATCCCACGGTGCGAGGCAACATCCAGACGGTGAAACATTAAACAACTATGGCCCATGGCCGGCATAGATGTCGAGCATGGTCAAAGTGTCGAACCACGGTCCTTGGGAGTCAAGTGTCACCCCTCGGCTGCCTGGATGCCACCAGCGATGCCCTGGTCACCCTCGCTGAAGTCCAAGGGCTCGTCGAAGCACATTCTCCTTGACATGTGAATTCAACTAGGACATTGCCTCACCGGAGTACTAGGTACTACTAGAATTAGTGCATTCATGTGCATTCTAGTACTAGCAATAGTAATACTCGTAACTATAGATGTAAATAGTACTCACAAATCACGACACACACACACACACAACTCTGCCAAACATCCGAAGAATGCATGCCGTGCAGAATGGCGGGTAATTCACATCGAAATATCTTTGACTAATGTGAATGGCAGTTCACGCTCCCAACAGAGCGCATGCTGCGAAGTCCAAAAACATATTTTGCTGAGGCCAAATGAGCTCGCACCACATGCCATGCAGCCGAGCAGCTCAATAAAGAGCTGGAACCGTGAAGGATGAATGCTGAGCATGGCCTGAGGACAGGGAACTCGGCGACACTCGGCAACTGTGCACACCGTGCAGCTGTTCTGCCATGTACACACTCTTGACAATGTGGTTTCGAGGCTCTGTCTTCTTCACTGAAAGCCTTCATTTTGCTAACTGAAGCTGACTTATCATGACGCCTTGCCTGGCACATCTTCCACATTCGGCCTCAAGGTGCCGATT